CCCCCTTCCCCTCTTGCGAGGAAGCGGTGAGCGGCCGCTCGGCCCTCAGTTCGTAGTGCATCCACTGGGGCTCGCTACGGAGAGAGAGGGAGGGGGAGGGGAAGAGACAAGCAAGCCCCGGCAGCTGCAGCCGCCGGGGCTCGCTACGGAGAGGGGGGAGGGGGGAAGAGACGGGCTCACATCGGAGGGGGGGAAGAGAGACTGGGGGGGTGGCGAGCCAGGGGTGAAGGAGACGGGGAACCGACGGGAGGGGGGAAGCTTACCTGGTTCTTCCTCCTCCGCCTGTTGAGTTCCTCCCCCACCCCCACCCCCGCGAGTTTCGCGGGACTTTCTCTTGTCCTAATCTAACACTCAAGTCACTATGCCATGCTGACTCCAACATACAGATTATAATGGAAGCATAATTAAACCTGCAGTAGCCATATAATTCTCATGCAGATCCAGTGCAGAGTACTGTGTGTAGTTCCTTCTCTTTTGCACACAACTGCATTAAGAAATTAGTGCTAAGGGGAAATGATTAGGAAATTCTAAGAGCTGCCTTCCCACTGGATTGATTACTACTCGGAATAGCAGTACTTATTTATAACAACACTCTGTGCAGACTAAACAGTATGTATAATATGTGAATCATGGCAGTCACTATCAATTCAGCCACAGCTCTACATTGTATCAAAGGGTGGGTCTCATTTTCCTGCCTCAAAGACAGAATGCTAATTTTTTTTTTTAAATGCAGAGGTTAAAAACTGCTGCAGCATCTTTCTACAGCTGTACATTTTAAGTAACAGGTAGCTTCCATTCCATTCATTTTGCCTGTTAAAAACAGCATATTTATGTCTAAAAAATTCCACAGAGAGACACATACATACATTCTGTTTCCCTGTTCCCTACCCCCTCTGTCACAGTTTGTTCGTTGTAAAAATGCACTTGGTTAGAACTAAAGTGCTAACTTTAGAACCCCAACCATTCTGTGTTCTGCTTTCTTTTTGTCACCTACCCCTACGAATACATCTTTCGAATTTTTTAAAATAAGAGCAGGGAGATACTGAGAATAAGCAAACATTTAAACTTACCAGATGTCCTACACTTCTAAATAAAGCACTAAGAAACATCAGCTTCCAGCGATCCTCCTTCACATTCTCCGGAATGGGAGTGTAAATATAATAAGCAACCAAAACAGAAGCAAGCAGAAGGGCCCGGAACTTGATCCCCATGTTTCTCTACTGAGCAACTTCTTTCAGGACCGAATCCCATTGAATGCTCTCCAGGCTGTAAACAGTGGCAAGTCAGCTGACAGCAGCAAAGTTAATCTGCAGTTTACACACAGATCACACCCAGGAGAGGAGTTCTCCTTTGATTCTTATGGTTCTACGGCAGTGTGCTCTGTCATCAAGCATTCATCCGCCCACGACAGGCCTAGAACAGTTGACATTCCTATACAGAGGTTATGTTTCATCATCAAAGCGGGAGTGGAGGGGGGGGTGTTTGCTGCTATTCATTCTCTCAGGCGGTTTCTGCGGCTGCTCTCTCTTCCCAAAGGCTTGAACAAATTTACTGCTTGCAAAATTAAAGAGGCAGAATACAGTGTTAAGAGTTGCAGCCTATGCAATACACATCAGCAAGTAAACCACTTGAACTGACTGATAAACTACGTTTCATTTCAGTGAAAGAAGAGGCTAAATTTAAAAAGTACAAGCAATTGCCATGGGGCGGGGTGGGGGTGGGGGTGGGGATCAGATTTCTTAACAGAGTTTAGGCACCTGAGGGCCTGTGCCTCACTGAGTATATTTCTGGGCACTCAGATTAACTGATTGGGTTTTTGACTAAATTTCTTGTTTACTTATTTAAACCATTTCTATGCTGCCTTTCCACCCAAATAGTCCCCAAGGTGGCAAACCTCAAAACATTTAAACATTTCAATCATAAAACAACATTTAATATAAAGTATGTATAAACGAATTCAATAAAAACAATATTCAATAACACCAAAACCAGGGAGGACAGCCAAGAACAGTTACTGAGGGCATGCCAAACAAAAGCAAAAAGTTTTCACCCACTGGCTAAAGACAACAAAAGAGCTGAATCTCCTAGGGCTGCCAAGCCGCGGCGGGGGATCCGTGCATCTTCACAGGATCCCTGCCGCGGGGGACAGCGATCTGTGTTGCACCGCCGTCGCCAGGATGTGACGCTATGCGTCGCTCTAGCGTCACATCCTGGCGACGGCGGTGCAACGCGGATCGCTGTCCCCCGCGGCAGAGATCATGTGAAGATGCACGGATCCCCCGCCGTGGCTTGGCAGCCCTAGAATCTCCCCAGGGAGCAAGTTCCAAAGTTTTGACATCATGACGGAGAAGGCCCTTTCTCAGGTTGCTGCCCATCTACCCTCCATTGGTATGGGCACCTGAAGCAGGGCCTCTGAAGGTGACCTGAGCAGATGGGCAGGTTAATACAGGAGAAGGCAGTCCTTAAAATATGCTGACCCCAAGACATATAAAGCTTTAATGGTCAATCCCAGCTCCTTGAACTGGGAACCAGTGTAGCTGGAACAAAACTGAAGTGCTGAAGTCCCTATTACCCACTCCAGTCAACTTTGTGGCAGCAGCATTTTGTGTCAAATGTAGCTTTAGGACAGTCTTCAAGGGCAGCCCTAGGTAGAGCACATTGCAGTAATCTAATCTAGCTGTTACCAGGTCATGCGCTACAGTGGTAAGATGTTTTGGCAACAGAAAATGCCACTGCTGCTGATTCACCAGCCAAAGGCACTCCTGGCCACTACTGCCACCTGTTTATCCAACAGGAGGACTGGGTCCAGAAGCACCCCCAAGCTATGAACCTCCTCCTTTAAAGGAAATGCAACCCCATCCAAAATAGGAGATATCCCATTTCCTGGGTCAAACTCTCCTCCCACTGGCAGCATCTCTGTTTTGTAGGGGTTCAGTTTCAGTTTGTTAGCTCTCATCCATTTCAAAATTGCCCCAGGCACTTTTTCACAGTTTCCGCAGCCTCCCTGGACTCTGCTGGAATCAGAAGGTAGAGCTGAGTGTCATCTCTGTGTTGGTGGCAACTCAAACCAAACCTCCAATGACTTCTCCCAGCAGTTTTCCACATATGTTGAAAAGCATGAGGGACAAGATGGAACTTTCCAGAAGCCTGTAGGCCAGAGGCCAAGAGGCAAAGAAGCAATCCTCCAGCACCACACTCTGAACTTTTTCTTTGAGGTAGGACCAAAAGCATCGCAGAACAGTGCTTCCCAGTCCCAACCCCAAAAGGCAGTCCAGAAGGATACAATAATCAATGGTATCAAAAGCCACCAAGAGGTCCAGGAGAATTAACCGGGGAGTGCAATCCTCTCCATCTCCCAGCACATGTCATCCACAAGGCTGACCAAGGCCATTTCAGCCCCATAACCATCCTGTAAGCAGAACTGGACAGATCCAAACACTCCACTTCATTAAGGAATCCCTGAAGTTGCCCAGCCACCGCTCATTCAGTCACCTTACTCAGGAATAGTATATTTGAGACTCTCCTGGGTCCAGAGTAGGTTTCTTTAGGAGTGGACACACCATTGCCCGCTTCAAGGCAGGAGTGACCACCCCCTCTCTCAGGGAGGCATTTACTGTCTCTCAGACCCAGTCCGCCAGCGCCCCCCCAAGCAGATTTAAGCAGCCAGGAGGGACAAGGGTAGTACAAGCAGGTGGTAGGTCTCACACTGCCAAGAATCCTGTCCACATCTTCAGACTGGGCAAGCTAAAAGGCGTGTCATACAACTAGAAAAACCAGCACCCAGTTACAGCTAATGGAGAGTCCAAGTCTGAAAGAATGTAAGAGCTTTTATCTGCCGAGTGCTTAACAAAACGATCGCAGCAAGCTGCAGAGCAGCAGTCTACCTCCTCCTACAGGTCAGAATCCAATAGGCCCTTGATCACCCAGAAGAGTTCTGCAGGTCAACACTTTGTGGATGCAGAGGTGCTGAAGAAATATTGTTTCTTTGCCATCATCACTGCCATGGATTAGGCTATAAAATTAGCTCTAGCCTGCACCTTTTTGGGTTCATCCCAAGTCTTTCTCTGCTGCCACTCTAGCCATCTCCCTTGTCTTTTCATTGTCTGCACTGTAGCCCCTCAGTAGACCAAAGTACTGCCTGGGTTCTTAGACTGGAGAGAGGGCACCTAGAAGTGATCCATAGGCATAATCTTCGTGGGGGTGGCGGGGCTTCAGCCCCCGCCGAAATTTTCAGGAAAGTGCTCAGCCTCCCCCGGGAGCCACCCTTGCTCCTAGCACAGCAATGCCTCTGGCGCAGCCCCAGCCCCCCCCCCCCCGGGAAATTGGAAAGTCTACACCCTTGATTAGTGATCTTAACTATTTTATAACTTACAAGTTAAGATATGCAGAGTCTTGTATACTTTGGACCTAATTTGTTCCAGGAACTCCCATTGATTAACAAGAACTGGTAATGTTAACAAGCGAAAGAGAGATCAAAAGTAGTTGTGCAGGATTCATGAACAAAGAGAGGGTAGGAAACTTTCATCACACTTGAAATATTCTTTGTCATGTCAGAAACAGAAGAGTTACAGGCATAATCCTCCTGTTACTAGTTATTATACCATGGATAAAACTGGCGTTATATAGTCAAAAGCACAATAATTGCATGGAACAACATTGTTTCTAAGGTAATAACACTGGCCGGTTTTTCTAAAAAGTCCTTTGCAGTTGCCAAAGTCCACACAGCCACAGTGTTGTTTGCAGACAATGTCTCCACATGTTCCAAGGCAGAACCCAGTGGGGAAACTGGCTTGTAGATCTCCTAGGCTACAGGCTTCCCGGGAGAAGGATTCATGTCTCACTGGAATGTCAGTGATTCCACTCAATAACCCTGTTACAGTATGCAATAAGTCTTGTGATGAGAACAAGAAACTCCTCTCATTTTTTTGCCATTTGAATTCCTGCTCTGGAGTTAGCATTTTGAAGGAAAGGGTGTATTTTAAAAAACTATGGCTCAGCATAAACAACTAAAATGATAAAAGGAACACTGAAAAGCATCGACCCGCTCTCCGAATTCGACCCACTCTCCGAAGTAGTCGTAGGGCCGCTTCCCAGGGTAAGCATTCGTTCAAGGTACACAAGGCCCAGAGGCAGGGGTGCTGTGGTCTTCACGATATCAACTTCTGTGAAATGGCCATGGCTGACAACTACATTGATGCTTTGGATCCAGAGAAACTAATGCAGTGCCCATATGACAAGAATCACCAAATAAGAGCATGTAGGTTCCCCCTACCACCTTGTCAAATGCCGCAAGAACCACCCTGATATTGTGCAGCAGCTGGTGACGTGCCCCTTTAATGCCCGTCACCAGGTCCCCAGATCAGAGATCAGCCAACACATATCCAGCTGCGATGACAAAAGATTCATCGAGCAAGACATCGCAAGTCAGTTGGGCAACTACAGAAAAGAACCCAATGTGGTGAGCATGTGGCAGTCTCCTCCATGCGAAGAAGACTGGGACAAAGATTTAGGAGACGAATCAAAGTCTGTCTTCATCTGGGGCGTAAGCCGCTGTGTGACAAACAGTTACGGATCGAGCGCAACCATGGAACAGAAGAACCATCTGCCTTCAGGTCTGCGAGTCCCCAAGTCATTGCCAAATGTGCTGCCGTGGAAGAGCAATCCAGCAGTTGCTGCCACCACCACAGTTCAAGGATCTTCACTGGGTGATTGAAGTGGAGCGAATCAGCCAGGCGGTGGCAGTGTGGCAGTGCGACATTGAGAGCCCTGATGTCATCAGCCAGCCAACAGAATACATGCCGTCGGAACATGACTGATACAGCCTGCAGATGATCCTCCGACCAGCTCCAATGTGTGTGTGATTAAGTATTGTATGTTGTCTTCCCTATCCCCCACGAATATATTGTTACTCCATTGTCTTTGAGTAACTGTAAATCGCTCTGAGCCCACATGAGTGGGAAAAAGCGATTAATAATTGAAAGTATTATTATTATTATTATTATTATTATTATCATCATCATCATCATCATCATCATCATCATCATCATCATCACTGAAGTTGTTGGCAGCTGTGTTTGTCCAAGGTAAAATTATAAAAAAAGATAACCTGTGTAATAGTTTTAATTAGGGCCAGCCAAAATGACAGAAACTGAGAGAAACAAATCACCAGGATACCCAAGCCCCAGAAACATAGTCCATCAGCATCTTAACAAGAATGTGCTCACAAATATGGAAAGCATAACAATGGCCACAGACTAGAACAAAAAAGTTCCAAAAAAGGAAACATCAAAAGACTGCAACAACTATTGGACCATTGCATTAATTTCTTTTGCAAGTAAAGTGATGCCCAAAATCTTACAAGGACTGTTACCATACACCAAACGAGAAATGCTAGATGTTCAAGATGGATTCAGAAAAGCCCTTGGATTTCGTTAAAGAGGGCACAACTTCCATTCAGTGAAAGAGGATTTGGTTCCCCTGCTCTTATATATCATCAGGCACACTTGTACTAATTACTGGGATCGGTCCTTGTAGTTGGACTGTCCATCTTGGGCTCTTTTGGAGGCCTCTTGTCTGGCGCTCCTCTCTAAGTGGAATGCATTAGTAGGGACTACTTATGCTAGAGTGGACCTCATCCCTCCTACAGTTTCTACAACTAGAAAACAATGGTATATAATGGCACGACAATATCAATTTGATCCATTTTCATATTCTAAATTAATACTATGTGCCAATCTAAATCTAAAAATTTGGAAGAAATATTTTTTCTTGTTTTTTGTGGAAGGCTTGGTCTGATAAGGGGATTTTTAGGCCTATTATGCACGGGTGTTTTCCCTCAGTTTCACATGCATGTCCATTGGGTTTTCTTTATTGTTCTGCTTTGATTTTCCTCCCTTCAGCAATCAGTTTGCTTTCTAGTCACTGTTTCCCCGGGTTTTCTGAGAGTGCTTTTGTGCCAATTTTTACCTTGTTCCGCTTCCAAGCAGAAGGTAATTAAAAAATGTATAGACACCCTTGAATTCCCTGCCGTCCTTTTGCCACCCTTCAAAGGTCACTCCCCTGCCCATGTTGAGGTCATTCTGCCCACTCTGCACCTTCTGCCATACCCCCCTTTCTCAGTGTACAAACTCCATTTCCTCCTCATTTTTATTTATTTTTTACAAGTGGCATGAGTCTAGATAGTCTCAGATTGCTGAATAAAAAAATTAAAACAACTGGGGGGGGGGCTGCATGAGGATTTAAAGAAGCTGCATGAGGGTTAGTTCCCTGCTGGTATTGACTTGAAAGGGGGATTGGAGAGGAGGCAAAAGTGGCTGAGCCACATAGACCTTCTGCAACCATCAAACTTAAGAATCACTTGGGATTGATCCATTTGGAGGACAGAGTGCAATCCACACAGGACAGGTTCTAAAAACTTCCAAGCTCACAACCAATGTGCAGAATCAAATTAGAAAATCACAGAGAAAAACAAGCCAATTTGCAAGGAAGGGCAGGAAATTAGCATTACTATGCAGCTGCACTAGGGCATTGGTGAAAATACCCCCCCCCCCTTTTTAAATTTATTAACACAAGACTAAAAAAGTTCTCCAGAGCTTCTGCTAGAGGACTCCTCCCCTATATAAATTGCAGCCCTGTGCAAAGCATAGTGGAGTTGCAGCTGACTTTAAACAGGCACATGCACATGCACACACACACACACACACACTAGTCACCAAAGATCACTGTTTGCAATGGCAGTGTCAGTGGGTTCTACAGTGCATTCTGTACATTCAACATATTTCCTCATATCCAGACACAATAAAAAACCATAACCGTATAACTTGTTATATCTTAACAGTAGCTAGAATATTAATAGCAAAGCGCTGGAAAACAAAAGGTATACCGTCTATAAAGGAACTTAAACATAAAATCCTGGAAGTAGCAGAAATGGATAAGTTAAACATGGAATTAGAAAATAAATTTCAAGACTGCTTCTGGGAAAGATGGAAAACAGTCTATGACTGGCTAAAGATGAAAAAAATAGAATAGAATTGAAACTAGGCTAGTTAAAAATGAAAGACAATTCAATAGAAGCTAGATGATTGTGTATAAGACTGGATGAAGATGAAATTGAATTGAAATTGGACTAAGGACAGTTCAAGGCAGAAAATGTCAAAGATAGGAGAGGAATGCTATGTTATGTCATGGAATGTTTGGAAATTGAAGGATTATATGATGTTATGTTAAAAAATGAAAATAAACTGTAAAAAAACATATTTCCTCATATCCACAAGGGAGAAACCATATATATGCCTGCCATGTAGGAAAAGGCATTTTTCACAGTGGCCGATAACACAGCAAAGAATCCCCTATTGCTTATCAATATGGAAAATAGGGCTTTGCAGCTGCTTTCCAGTTTCAGAAAAGGTCTGGTTAGTTTCAGCAGTGGTTTCTCCCCCTTTGCCTGAGTTCCTTTCTGTTCCCTTTCATTCAATGAACTAACACCAAAATGCATGCACAAAGCCTGAACCACAAGAATTTAAATGGAAGGTGCTTGCTGGACACTACTGTGCAGCTGCGATAGGGCAATCATGTAATTGTTAAAAAAAAACAAAAACCTTGGGCCCCCCCCCCCCCCAACATGTCACAAGTGACATTCCACCCTGATTTAGAAAACTGTGGGGGGTTTTAATTGTAGCAGCAGAATAAATACACCAGAGGAAAAAGAATGGTGCATAAGGCGGACACAGAATCTGAAATCAAGATTAAAGGTTTACTGCTCTGAAAATCTGCAGCAAGATGTGTGTGCGTAATGGACTTTTCATTGGATCAGCTGATAGAGTTTGAGGATGAGTTTTTGTCATTTTCTCAGGGAAAGTATAGATATGATTTGTCACCTTCTGTAGAATGGCAATACTTAACAATTGTTGGTATCTGAATATGGCCCTGCAGCATTAAGTGTCTCAGAATCCCCTTTGCTCCTGGAAACTGTAATCAAATCAAGCCAGAAAATGAAAGCTACAATATTGGTTTATAAATATTAGATGTTGATTAACAAATATGATGTGCAGAGTCTTAGAAAAGAATGGAATAAAGAGTTAGAGTGCTCTATTTTGCCAAAGCAATGGGACCTGGCCCTAAAGTCTATACCTACTCTCTGTATGGATCTTAAGTTGAGACTTATTCAGCCAAAAAAATGTTTAGGATATACTGGACACCACAGCAGCTCTTTAGCAAAGGAAGTGTCTAATTGTTGGCACCAGAATACATATCTTAAACATATGCTTTGAGCGTGTCCAGTTATTCGGTTTTTCATGGAATAAGTTATTATTCACATCAATTTTGTATTAGAATGTTCTTTTCTGTTCTTTTTTGAGAATTCTCATGCACTTTAAACTATCTTGGAGGCTAACAGATGGTCAATGGAAATGGACCCTCTGTGCCCTTACTACAGCTAAAAGACTCATATTACAACACTGGAAAGATAACAGCCCACCCCCTGTATATCAATGGATTTCAGACCTTAGAACTCTATCAACATTTGAACACATGGTATATAGATGGCAATTGCATATGGACTTATTTTTAGATATTTGGAAATCATGAAGGTTAAAGAAAGTACTGAAGCAGGATTACAGCCGACCATCCAGAAGACAAAAGTAATGACTACTGGAGAATTACACAGCTTTAAGGCTGATGATGAAGAGACTGAAATTGTTAAAGATGTTCAATTCCTTGGCTCCATCAACTGCAACTAAGACTGCAACCAAGAAATCAGAAGGAGATTGAGACAGGGAAAGGTAGCCATGGAAGAGCTAGAAAAAATTCTTAAGTGTAAAGATGTGTCACTGGCAACCAAAACTGAGATAATTCATGCCATAGTATTCCGTAGTACTATGTATGGATGTGGAATTTGGCCAATTAAGAAAGACAACCAGAAGAAGGTGATTCATTTGAAACGTGGTGTTGGATGAGAGCTTTACAAATAACATGGACCACCAAAAAGACCAATCAGTGGATTCTAGATCAAATCAAGCCTGAACTCTCCATAAAAGGTAAAATGTCTAAATAGCAATAATGTCTAAATAGCAATAGCTAAATAGCAATGTCGAACTCATTTGTTATGAGGGTCAAATCTGACATAAATGAGACCTTGTTGGGCCAGGCCATGTGTGTCATAAAATGTAATGTCATGTAGTGGAGATATAAACTTTATAAAGGATACAGACGAACACAAAGATTTTTTAAACTTTAAATAAAACATGCTTAAAACACTAGCACTCTTGCAATATTTTGTCTATTTAACAGTCTCTGATAACTGACACCTCTTGCTCTGAATTATTGCATCAAACTGTCTGTGCTGCAGCAATCTTGAGTATGCTGTTCAGGTGTGTATCTGTAATCTGCAGACCTACTTTTGATTTATTGACAGTCATTACAAAAATCTCATGCTCAGTGTTCTGAGCCTAGGACACAGGAGAAAACTTGAAATGGCTGGACATTGTGAGCTTTTGTACATAAGTTGCTTCATGTGCTGGTCAAGAACATGAGAAGGCATCCTGACACAGACTGAGGGCTATGTGTTCATCTACAAAACGTCTTCCCCAGAGAAATATCTACAACTTCCTACAAAGGAAATGTGCTGGGTGAACTTGGTCTGAACACATACTCTCAACCTAATCCACCTCACTGGATTATTGTTATTCCTCCTCTATAATAGTTCACATTGCTTTC